ACTGCGCACACACTACTTTATTTACTTGACATATTTTTGCATATGCTTTCCACGTCTTTCATTATTACATAATGATCCCTCGAAGGACCACCTCAATTTGATTAGCTTAGACGTATAGACTATTTCTACTATTTCATAATCAATAGATTTGCTATAAATATACTTGCACAGATAGCGTAATAACACAATGATTTCTTTAGATGCACAGGTGGGAGGCATTGTACGTACATATTCCCAAAAGGAGGCTGCCAGTTTAAGGACCTGAGGGCTTTTACAGCACTTTTTCTTTTTTGTTCTTGATTGTGGATTTTTACAAAGATTTTGTTTGTTTGTCTTCTAAAGTCAAGAATGGATTGCTTAATTTTGTCAGCTGCCTTTCTGATACCTACTGATATGAGCATAATTAATTATGCTAATTAATGTGGCATATTTTGGTTTTGTTGTCCTTATTTTAAATCAACCCTGCATTCCTAAGATAAACCTAATTCAGTCTCAGTCACAGTGAATAAGTCTTTGGGTATGCTGTTGTCTGTTACCTGTTACCTTTTTATTTAGGGATTCTCCCATAGACTGGCCCATAACATTATCAAACTTCAGATTAAGCCTATCAGTCTTAAAGAATGCTTTTGACTATCATACCATCTTGTTCTATTTGTATAATACAGAAATTGAGTTCTTTAAAGTTTTAATTTTTTTCAAGCAAGTCCTTTGATTCTAGGTACTTTTGTGAAGAGAGGGGAGAACTTCCCATTTTGTTGTTTTCTCTTTTATCACATTCATTATGCCAATTGAATACTGATTTGGTTAATTTTTTAAAAGAACCAAATCTTGATTTTATTTATGGGTTGTAAGGCTTTTTCACATTAAAATTTATTTTCATGACAATCTTTACGATTTAATTTGTTCTTCTTTATAGTTTGCTGCTTTGCTCTTTTTCTAGATAATTATAGATTTTTTTCTTAAGTAGTTAGATGAATAAAATTTCTTAAAATTTTGACATACTGCATATATGGTGTTCACATTATTTAACAATAGTCTTTTATGATACTCTATATATTTTCTCTTTAATTTAGTTGCTATTTAGGGTTTTTAGTTTGCCACTAATAACATTTTTTTTGGCTGAGGAAGATTTGCCCTGAGCTAACATCAGTTGCCAATCTTCCTTTTTGCTTGAGGAAGATTCACCCTGAGCTAACATCTGTGCCAATCTTCCTCTATTTTGTATGTGGGTCACCACCACACACGGCTGCTGATGACTGGTGTAGGTCCACACCCGGGAACTGAACCCAGGCCACTGAAGCAGAGCACACCAAACTTAACCACTAGGCCCCAGGGCTGGCTCCCCACTAATAATATTTTTAACAATTATTTATCTATTTAAATAGGTAGTACACACACATGGTAAGAAATTCAAATTCAGAGGGAGAAATAAGTCTCCCTTCCATTCTATTCCCAGTCCTCCAAGTCTCCTCCTTAGAGGCAACCACTGTTACCAGTTTCTTGAGTAACTTTCCAGAGATACTTCATATATATGTGTGTGTGTGTGTAAAACACAGCTTTTTCCTTTATACAAATGAGAGCCCATTATACACTCTGTTCTTTGCCTTCCATATAAACCTTTGTAAGAGAACTGATCACAATTTTTAAATGGCTTAGTACATTTGAATTATGCATTTTACGTCTAATTTTATTTCATTATGATCTAGGCAGGTGGTTTTATGAAATTTCCTTCTTTCTAAATTTACTAGAATTTACATGTGACATAGTAAATGATCAATTTTTATGGAAGAGTCACACAAAACTTTTTAAAAAGTATATTACCCTGGCTTTATACTTAATTTTCTCCAAATTTCTGTTAAGTTTATTAGTTATGCAATTTAAAACTCTAACATTTTTTCTTGGTATGCTTGCTCCTTTATGATGGTGGAAAAAAATTTCCACCACAATTACATTCCTATCTATTTCTACTTTTATGTATTTTGTTAAGTTATTTAAGGCATGTAGAGCCAATGACATTTTCTTTGACTATTTATTGTACTTGTATCACTGCTTTTATTGATCCCTCAGTACATTTTAGTTAAAAAATCTACTTTTTCAGATACAACTTGAAATTGTAGCCTTTTTATACATATGTAGTGGGAGGTACGTGCCTGGTAACTTATAGAATACTATTTTTTTTTTTTTTTTTTTGGCGAGGGAGATCAGTCCTGAGCTAACATCCGTGCTAATCCTCCTTTTTTTGCTGAGGAAGACCGGCTCTGAGCTAATATCTACTGCCAATCCTCCTCCTTTTTTTCCTCCCCCAAAGCCCCAGTGGATAGTTGTATGTCATAGTTGCACATCCTTCTAGTTGCTGTATGTGGGACGCGGCCTCAGCATGGCCGGAGAAGCGGTGCGTCGGTGCGCGCCCGGGATCCAAACCCGGGTCACCAGTAGCGGAGCATGTGCACTTAACCGCTAAGCCACCGGGGCGGCCCTAGAATACTCTTTTAATTAATCTTACTTAAATGATTTGCTTTGAATAAATTAAACTTTATTTCAACTCGGGTTTAAACTCAAAGTGATGTGTTTCTATTTATAATTATATTCCAAACATCAACTACTTAATAAAAGAGGTTTTTCTAGCATCTGCAGAAGAGGGCAGCTCCCAGGCACTGGGGCCAGGAAGGAAAGGCAGATCTTGCTGCTTTCTCCTGATTTAATGCTCTTGAAATGCAGTGGAACATGCTCAATAACCTGGCATGAATTTCCAGTGTTGGATTAGTGACATTTTAGGGTGGAATATGCTTTGTGAGTGATGAGAGCTATGCTGGGTTGACAGGGTATTATGGTATTTCATTTTGTTATACTCTGGATACTTCAGGTAACTGGCTGGCCTGCAAGAACATGATTTTCACCCAACTCTATAGTTTAAACACCTCCAAAAAGCCCTTTTAATCTAGCATGTACACTGTTTATAAAAAAAACCCATGACATCGTCAGTTCAACAATTCAAAAAACCTGTCACGTTTATATAAATATTAACATGACATAGGTATTCAAATACAGGTACATATACATAAATGCCTTATCCAGAATATCTTTATTTTAAAGGCTTACTTGTAAATGGACAGGGATTATCAAGTCCCTCTTCCATAAAATCTATTTTTAGGTCCACCAGATAGAAATGGCTTTATATACCAATAGAGCACTACTGAATCACAACTTCATATATGCGAACTACATAAAAAACTGACAATTAAAAGCCACATAGTTTCTAATATTACTACTGAAATTAACAATGTCAATCCTCGAAGTTCTTCTAAATAACCATCCTTAATGTAATTCAAAGTTTGTCTAGGTTTAAGGAATATATTCACATCTAGCTTTTATGAGAAACATGAATGTTTTATCTCCTCAGTGCAGTAAATAAGCCCCCTCCAAGTTTCAAGCTTGTCTACCTCCAGAGAAAAAGAAAAACACACTTCAGGATTGAATGAGGCTAAGATTAGTAGAAGAATCAGGATACTGAATTAGAAAACCTGCCAACAGAAGTTTCCAGGAATGACGGTATGAAAGCAGCATGTAACCAGTTAATCCACGGATTTTTCTACAGTTCCTCACTTTTGCTTCCAGACGCCACAATACTGCCCAAACATGGGGTGTGAACACAGCACTTTCCAGAGTTTCTGACATCTAGACATCTTATAAGAGTTAGTTTCAGGGGCCGGCCCAGTGGCTTAGCGGTTAAGTGCGTGCGCTCCGCTAATGGCGGCCGGGGTTCGGATCCCGGGCGCGCACCAACGCATCACTTGTCTGGCCATGCTGAGGCGCGTCCCACGTACAGCAACTAGAGGGATGTGCAACTACGACGTACAGCTATCTACTGGGGCTTTGGGGAGAAAAGGGGGAAAAAAAGGAGGAGGATTGGCAATAGATGTTAGCTCAGGGCTGGTCTTCCTCAGCAAAAAGAGGAGGACTGGCATGGATGTTAGCTCAGTGCTGATCTTCCTCACACACACACAAAAAAGTTACTTTCAAATTAAAAGAAACTTCTTAATTCATTTAGATAATGGGAACTTGCTGGACTCATGTAAATTACATGAGCCTGCTAAGTACTAATTATACTCTTTCTTATAATGATACCTCCAACTCACATCTAGGAAGTAACCAAGAAATATGAGAACGCTTAAGGGGCTAGTATTCTTGTATTGAAATAAACTCAGATTTCCAATAAACGTAATTCTTCAATAAAGAGGTACAAGAAGTCAATAAAACTAGCACTTTATTCACTGTAATGTTCATCTTAGTCTCATGCCAAGGACAGTGTCCTATTAAGTGAAACTGTGATATAACAAGGGCCTCCTGTCAACTCAAGCACCAAAGCCCCTCAAAGAGGGTTTGGAATGAACTGACCTTCCAACCTAACCCAGTGGATGATGTTATACTGAGAAGGAATTCAATTACCATGGCCAGGAGAGGCTGTGATTATCACATCAGTTCCTCTGCAAAACAGAGTCTAGTTAGTAAAGTAATAAAAACAATAATCAATCGATTATTTTGATAGTGTTAAGGGAAGAGATAGTAAGATATCTCTAGGAAGCTGTATAAGACCAAGTCCTAATGAGGGGTAGAAAAAAGACAAGATGATAAAAAGAAGACCCAAGGAACTCAAGACACAAATTTCAAATGCCCAGCCAAGATCTGGCCATGTACAGGTAATTCCCCAAACTCTTCAAAAAATGCTAACAATTGAATTCACCATTCTTCACTTGACTCAATGCCTCGGCAATCACTAAAGTGCCCTTCAGTAGTGGAAATTAAAGTAACTAATGACACTGCTTTACACTGGAACTATTTTACAGACATAAAAACAGAGAGATTAAATTCTCCCACTTATAAAGCTACCCCAGAAGTTAAGTATGTAAACCTTGACACCCATTCACTGACACCAAGTCTCCCCAGAACTGGAACGATCGGTACTCAATGAGATCAAACAACTAACGAATAACTCTTCTGACCTGCAGAATGAGAACGAAGTAGTCTACAGGTTTGTTTCGCTGGTAGAGGTAGTGTTCTGGTGCTTTCTTGTTCTTCTCATCATGCTTCAGCTCCTGGATGACATTGGGGTGCTTTAGCAGCCTTAGCAGAATCTTCTCTGACATCTGGGATGGGCTAAATGCTTCTACTTCTATAGATATAAACACAACTTGATATTACACTTCAAATGGATGGAAAAAATTATACTAGTGATTAAGGTGTTTAGATAACAAGAATACTTAGAATCAAAGTGATACAATATGGATAACGAGACTTCCGTTTGGTGATCCACTGGGGGCAGGTTACCTGGGAAAAATTAGAAAATGCTGAATTCTCATATTTGTTTCTTTTAAATTCTTCCTTTTCAACCTGTCATTTGTTTCAGTTCTCATAAAAATACCCTAATTTTCTGACTGATAACAAATGAAAATCAACCAGAAGCAGGCTCCTTCACTGCCAGGATGCCCTTCAACAGGCCACACTAGTCTGACTGTCCAACGACAGCCAGAGGAAGAAGCGCAGGTCAGGAAGCATCAGATGTGGGTTAGTACCAGGTGCACAGACACAGCGCTCCACATCTCCCTCTCCCACCCAGCTGCCCTGAGGAAGTCTGGGAGCAACGGAAGGCAGAGATTCGGAATAAACACAAGGCGCGTGCACACATCAACATGCACTCCAACTTGCCAATTAAAAAAAAAGTAATGTTGATCTGTATTTATAAAGATATCAATTTTATTTAAGATAAAGAACCCAAAATTACTGATTTAAGGGTGCTATCCTGACACTGGACTTCATGGAATCTCAGAGGCAGAGTAGGATAACATTTAGTTTTAAAGTGTGGTTCTTAAATGATGAAGACTATTATCATAGCAGAATTGAAAAAGAATAATAAGTAAGTTAAAGATATTGTTTATAGGTTTTAAAATTTTTTAAATTATGCTATATGTGAAAATTATAAATTCTGTATTAGCTTCTGTGACTTTTTTGTAATAACAAAATAAGATAGTACATTGCAGACATTTTGGAAAATACACAAAAAGAGGAAAATAAAAATTACCTATAAACCAACCACTCATAACCCTTCTGAGGAATTGGTGAGCATTTCTTTCCAGTAGGCATCTTGCCTAGGTATCTGTGCCTGTATATACGTGTGTGTACACACAAAATAACAACTATAATCTTACTGTACACAAAGTTGTATATTTCTTTTTTCTCGCTATTAAATCATGAGTATTTTCCCATATCAGAAATATTATATTGTGAGCATTTCCATATATCTGAAAACATGATCTTAAAGAGTGTATAACGTTCCATCATGTGGTTGCTGTTAGCCTTCTTTTCAAAATATCTTAAGTACACTGCATGCAGTTGAAAGGTACTGGCTGCCCATCGTGGACACAGACGTCTTCTACAGGCCACTGGGTACTTTCAGATTTTCTCACACGTCCCCTGGCCAACAGAGCTCACCCTTCACCTAGAGAGGCAATTGGGGATGTGAGAAGGATTAGTCAGTCTCTTAAGTCCATTCAACCTTGACCTCTCTGGAGCAGTCAGTGCTGGCCGGGTTGGTGGTTTTAATAATGTGAACACTTGCCTCCTCGAATGGGCCCAAGTTAACAATCTGATTTGAAGAGGCCGTCAAGAAATCCATGTTAGAGTTCTTAGAATTTCTGATTTCGTTAAAACCATAAAAGATAGATTTAATTTTTAAAATCTATTTTTCTTCTTCACAAATCATAGCACCTGTGTTACCACTGATGTCCAACTGTTCTTCCAAGGCAAGCTGAAGAGAGAATTACTCAGCTGTCCAACAAACAATGAGGTGGTGTCTGGTTCACACTGTCAGCCTACTCCACCAGCTGGCTTTCCCCTGGGCTTAGTTGGAAGCAGATGACCTGGCCTACTGTTCACATGCAGTGTGGCACTAACATTCATCCTTACCTTTCAGACCAATTTTAAGTTACTGGTCCACCCCTGGTAAATGTCTCAGAGGGTTCATGCCGACACTGAACATAGGAGAGGAGAGAATTTAAAAAGAAAAAAACAAAACAAAACAAACAAAACAAAAAAAAACAAAAAACAAAACACAAAAGTGGCATTACTTATCACCCCATTTCCCAGTCTCCACCCCCAGCCCACCCCTCAGCGGTGGGTGAGAAACAGGCTCCAGGGTTGGTAGAGATTTCAAACTGTGATAAGCTGCACTTGCCTGTTGCTAGGAAACGGTGCATGGCCAAGAGAAGCTGTGGTGATATTTTAACCTTCATCTCGCTGTCTGTCTGCTTAAAGGCGGAAAAATCTTGCTTTCTTTCACGATGGGCCACTTTCTTTTTTGTTCTGTTATCAGCTGAGGGAAGAATGAGAAAAGAAAAAAGTAAGGAAATGCATTCCATTAAATCATGGCTCTTTTTAAATGAAAATGACAAAATATATCGGAAAGGCTAGACTCTCTCTCCAGATGGTGGGCACTCTGTGTACAAATACCACATGGAAAGAGGAAGGGAGAGAGAGAATCCTCATCACATCAGTGCAGCAGTCATGAGACAATCCAAAGTAAGAAATAACAGGCAACCTGATTAGTAGCAACTATAAACATACCTCATGAAGACCTTTAGAGCCCTTGAAAGTACATTATTGGGCAGCCTTGGACAGAAACCCTCATTGATTCTATACAACCACATAGCAGCAGAGTGTGTAGCCTGGAGCACACACAGTCTCCTGCTATTCAATGTCACCACACCGCAGTGAAGAACAATCTTTGTGCCACAGAAGACCCAGGGAACTGTGTCCCTGCCTTTGAGAGGCTCCTAGCCTCTGCCAAAACAAAACACATCAAGAACACTTTCAAAGAACAATATTTTAATAATAATATCTGTGAGCTTCATTTCTACCCCAGACCATGAGACCCTCAAGGTCAAGCAAATATGAAGAAAGGGATAAAGGTCAGCGAATTTCCTCTGTAAGAGGCTAGACAGTAAATATTTCAGGGTCTGCGGGCCATACGGTCTCTGCTGCAACTACTCAACTCTGCTGATCAGCAAAAGCAGCCATATGTAAACAGATTAGCATGGCTGTGTTCCAATAAAACTTTACTATGGACATGAAATTTGAATTTCATGTCATTTTCGCTTGTCACAAAATAATTATTCTTTTGTTTTTTTCCAACAATTAAAAAATGTAAAAGAAAAACATTCTTAGCTTGTGGGTCATACAAAAAGTGGTGGCAGGCACTTGTGGGCTGTAGTTTGCAAATCCCTGATCTGGAAGGTGTCTAATGCAAAACCTTTAATCAGGTTGCCTGTTATTACTTACTTTGGATTATGTCATGGCTGCTGCACTGATTTGATGAGGATTCTCTCTCCCTTCCTCTTTCCATGACAAAGAAGTGGTCAACAAAACAAAACAAAACAAAACACTAGGTTAAAGACAAGACCCCAATCGCTTGCTCCTTTCCCAAGAACCACAGGTGTTTGCATTACCATTTCATGCCTAGGGCAAAATGGATGGATTACTAGGCTTGTTCTGGGGAGAAGGCAATTACAACGTATAATTTTCTTGTCTCAAATTCTTTTGAGAATCAGACAGCATAAACCAACACAAAATTTTACAATAATTTTCTAATGGCAAAGGCAGTCATCATCCCTGATCTCCTATCTAGATCAAGAATATATGTGGGCCGGCCCCGTGGCTTAGGGGTTAAGTGCGCACGCTCCGCTGCTGGGGGCCCGGGTTCAGATCCCGGGCGCGCACCGACACACTGCTTCTCCGGCCATGCTGAGGCCATGTCCCACATACAGCAACTAGAAGGATGTGCAGCTATGACATACAACTATCTACTGGGGCTTTGGGGGAAAAATAAATAAATAAAATTAAAAAAAAAAAAAAGAATATATGTGAAACCACAAGTTAGCATTTCGTTATCAGTAAGTCACGGCAGGCAACGCTTCAGTAGGAAATCAGTCTAATGGAGGTTTAAAAGCTAACTGGAGTGCAAACATAAGACCTCATCAATGTCTAGATTCTGTCTCCTATGCTGAGGACTACCCCTGGGGAAGCACATCAACACAGAGAGACACACTTGGTGTTAAACAGTCACCAGTTAAACAGACAGACGAAAAGAATGTAAACACACAAATAATATTCTCTATCATGAGACCTCGACCTCCTCCCCAAGTGTCAAAGGATAAAACGCATAGGCACTGGTGTTTTTTAAGAACACTATAGGGCCGGCCCGGTGGCTTAGCGGTTAAGTGCACGCGCTCCGCTGCTGGCGGCCCGGGTTCGGATCCCGGGCGTGCCCCGACGCACCGCTTCTCTGGCCATGCTGAGGCCGTGTCCCACATGCAGCAACTAGAAGGATGTGCAGCTATGACATACGGCTATCCGCTGGGGCTTTGGGGGAAAAAAAAAAAAAATAAAATCTTTAAAAAAAAAAAAAAAAAAAAAAAAAAGAACACTATACAGATGTGAGGAAAAAATAAGACACATTTTCAGAAGCAGGTCATTAGCTAAATATGAAATTCATTCTTTTAACGGTGCACGGAAGACTCAAATTTAAAATGAGAGACATTCCCTTCTGGTGGGACTGACTAAAATCACTCTGCTTTGGGCAAGGCCGGCTTTGTCCCAGGTGCCCCAGGCCATTTTAATGGTCTATTTCCTCCTCCAAGTCATGTTTTAAAAGCCAAACGGGACAAATAGAGCCCAGATGCTCTTTCTCTATCCCATCTTTGAGAGCCCCAAACATCTCAGGCCTTGGGCCATCTTTGGCATTTTTAAACTCTGGAAAGAGTCTGACTTTGCTAAGGGTGAGGCTGAGGAAGAAGGTTTAGGCTCCACAGTCCAACAATCCAGCTGTGTACTTTCATGAGACAGGATTCAGGTTCAACACCCAGCCCAGGATCAAGCCTACCCTTGGGCAAACAGGTACGGGTAGTCCCCAACCCCCCACCCATCCCCCAAAAAAAGAAGGCAGAGAAGCAGGAAAGGGAAAAAAACATTCTTATTTTGTACCCTACCCTGTCCTGCCTCCTATACCCCTACCTCGCCACCACTGCCCCAACAAAACTACACTTGTAACCTCACCTCTACCCTTGCCCATGGCTTCTGAAACAAGGGAATTGAAACAGTTGCTATCCATCAATTTAACAAATCCTCCTCACTTTTTAAGTACTTGAATTACGACCTTAAGTAGAAAAAGAAATTTATCCAAAAACAATTTACCTAGTTGTGTAAAATGAAAATTTAGTAATGAACAATTCTTCTTCCACATGTAAAATAAATGTAAAAACCAAGAGTGGAGTTTTCTGTTCAGGGCAAGTAACGCCCAGCTCAATGGTCAGAAGCAGCTGGCTTTTCAAACAAACATGCCACTTAACATTACAAGATCTGCCTCTTCCTTCTCCCCCCGATGAAGGGACTGGAATACACTGACAGGTTGTATACAGCCTACACACATGGCACGTAATTAGAAACAGAGGCAAACAACTGGAGAGATGTCAGATGACCCACAAACAACGTGACCAAAAAAGCAAAGGTTTTGGGAAATTACACTGAGACAATGCTACTCACTGTATAAATCTGTTTCATCTAGAATCTCAGATTTGATGATTTCTTCAATCACATCTTCTAATGTGACAATTCCCAGAACTTCATAAAACGGATCCCCCTCTCCCTCATTGTTTACTCGCTGCACAATAGCCAGGTGAGATTTACCTGCAAAGAAAAGAAAACAAAGTTTAAGACGTAATTTTCTGAATTTCCTGAATGAAGCCTTATAGATGATTATGGTAAAAATAGCAGCAAACAGATACCCTATTACCAAAGTTTGCATTTCAGCATTTAAAAAATGTATGGAATGTGGAAATACCACAGACAAATGGAAAAATTTCATGAGCCATCAAAACAAGACCAGTTAAGCCAGAAGACTGTCACCTTCTACACACACTGTCCTGCACCACAATACATTTGCTTCCTAATGGATTTGGTCTTCAGTAATGACAGCTCTTCCTTTGTGATCTTTTAGAAACTGCTACTTTACTTTAGGAGAGCAATTCCCAAAGTGTGGTCCGTGGACCCATAGGGATGCCCAAGACCCTTTTAGGACGTTGGCAAGGTCAAATTATTTTCATTAGAATACTAAAACGTTCCCGGCCTTTTTCACCGTGTTGATATTGAACCAATGGTGCAGAGGTGCCGAGCACAAATCAAGGCAGTGGTAGCAAACTCTACCAGTGGTCACTGTATTCTCCACGACCACGCACGGAAAGAGGGAAAAATGTTAGTTTCTCTTAAGAATATCCTTGATCAAGCAGTAAAAATTGTTAATTCCATTAAATCTTGACCCCGAATACCTGTCTTCTAATATTCTATGTGACAAAATGGGAAGTGTCATGAAACACTTGTGTTGCATTCTGAAGTCTGACAGCTGTCCTGAGGAAAAGCACGTGGGCCATTGTTTGAGGTGCAAGTGACCAGCCATTGTTTTCACTGACATGATTTTTACCTAAAAGAACGGCTTCCAAACAAACTATGGTTATTTAGATTTGGATATTTGGCAGATATTTTCTTGAAAATGAACAAACGAGCCTGTTACGTTAAGGAAACAACAGCAGCTTCTGCTGCCAATGATAAAATTTGAGCTTTCAAGGGAAAATCAGAATTTTGGGAAACTTGTATCTACCATCATGAGCTTGAGAGCTTCTCAGTGAAGACTTTTCTGGTGCAACAGGTAGTGATATTAACAAATGTGATTTTTTAAAACATTGAATAATGAAATGTGTCAACATTTCAAAGATCTGTGAACCAATATTTTCCAAATGACCATGGTAATGACGTTACCAAATCACGCAGGAGTAAGCGATCTAGCAGAGTGCGAGACATAACAATGGATTTTTTTAAAGTAAACTTTTTAGTTTGCAGTAATTTTAGATTTACAGAAAAGTGGCAAAGATAGTATGGAGAGTTCCTATATACTCGTCACTCAGTTTTCCCCATTGTTAACATCTTACATTACCATGATACATTTATCAAAACTAAGAAATTGACATTGATACAGTAAGTAAATTCCAGACTTTATGTGGATTTCACCAGTTTTTCCACTAATGTCCTCTTTCTGCTCAAGTATCCAATCCAGAGCACCACACTGCATTCAGCTATCACGTCTCCCCGGTCTCCTCCGGTCTGTGAGAGTTTCTCAGTCTTTCCTGGTTTTTTATGACATTGACAATCAAGGAGTACTGGTCAGGTATCCTATAGAACGTCCTCTGATTTGGATTTGTCATGTTTTTCTCATGATTAGAGTGGGGTTACAGGTTTTCTAGTTACCTCATATCAGGGTCTACATGACACCCACATGACATCACAGGCGATGTTCACCTTCACCACTTGATTAAGGCAGTGTTTCCCAGGTTTATCCACTGTAAAGTTACTAATTTTTCCCTTTCCCTAATTCTATTCTTTGGAAGCAAGTCACTAAGCCTAGCCCAACCCCAGGGAGGGGTGAGGGGTAAGAATTAAGCTCTTAATTCTTGGAGTGGGGGATTATCTACATATATTATTCAGAATTCTTCTGTAAGGAAGATTTCAGACCCAAGGATTTTAATGTAGCAGTGCATCAAAAGTCCACTGGTATAGTATCAAAAGAGAATATCCACGATTGTCCAAAAAGGCTATTAAAATACCCTTCCCTTTTCCAAATACATATCAGTGTGAGGCAAGATTTTCTTCACATACTTCATCTTCCATTTAACTAGATATCTAAAAAAGAGATATGCGAAAAGGTACACAATGCCACTCTTCTTACTATTTTTATTTTGGAAAATAGGTTTTTTTAATGAAAATGTAATTTATGTTAACCTGTAATGGATTTATTACTGTCTTTTGAAAATGAATTAATAAGTAAACAAGTAAATGTTTTAAATTTCTCAGGTTTAATTTCAAATACAGTAAATATCAAAAGATATAACCCACAGGGAAGAACACGTGCTCTGAGTCGAACAGTCCCGGATTTGAACTTCAGCACTGCCACTTATTAGCCATCACTAGCAGTGTGATCATGAGCAACTACACAACTTTTCTAAGCCTCAGTCTCCTCATCTCTAAACCAGGCTCACAATAATGCTGCCACACAGGGCTGTTATGAATATCAGAGATAACGTTGGTAACTGGCAAAGACAGTGCCTGGGATCCACTGGGTGATCAATAAATGGTAACACATTAATTTATTAATATTCTTTCCCAATTCTAAGGCACCATCAACTTATTACCAACTTAGAGGGAAAAAACACTATATTAAATGTACACCTTGATTAAAAGATGCATCTCAATTTCAGAAAGATCTTTTAAAATATCAAATGCTTCTCTCAAATACCAATACTGGTTTTCCCAATCCAAGGCATGCGAGACATCTGAAACATATCCTTAAGTTAAGCCAAGCAGACATGATCTGGAAATTTCATAATCAGTCAACATGTATATTGTTTTTTTAAATGACAGGGTGGGGTTTTCGGGGGGAAAGGGCTGGGGGAAGTCCTTTAAATAAAGTTTACTTAAAACCTCAAATTGGGCGAGTTCACTCAGACACAACCAGCCAGACAAACTAAAAATATGCTGCAGGCCAGGTCCGATCAGGTTCCCAGCACTTACTCAGAAACTGGCTTTGGTTCTGTGGGTTTGTCAGCCCCTTTCCGCTCTGCCTCAGGCCCCTTTATAGGCAACAACGTCTGGAAGCCTAGAAGTTTAGATTATTAAACAATTAGGCATCCTAACAATTTTCATCCTTAGCATGCTCACGCTCAAAGAATGAAAATATTTTGAGTAAATGAGAGTAGGAGGGAAACTTATCAGCAATAGATATAAACATCGCATCAGGTCAAGTCAATTCTAGTTGAGTCAATTCAGCCCAGTCAGTTTCTCACATCTGCTTTCCCAAGGACCCAAACATAAGCAGTTAAAAATTCTTGGTGAATGCTGTCTGTCGAAAGTTAAATTCTTTTGCTATTCCCAGCTTGTGATCATTTAAAAGGAATTTTCCAAAGCAAGGTCTAATATTAGACTCAAAATGAAGTTTCCATTCCACTGAGGCGCTATTCTCACCAAAGTAACTACCGCATAATCAGATTGTCTTGGAGCTATTCGTTTAAATGCAGATGGACATACTTGAAATACCAGCTCGATAGCACCAACGGATCTGACTGGAAAGGGCCTTACTCTAGGAGAAATTATGTGAGTTAGGCTTCTTAGATTGAAAATTCTTAAGTTTTCTTCCAAGCTCACATGTAGCCTTCTACACCCCAACCTCCAGTGTTAAAGCTTCTGCATCTGCAGAGTTACATTCTTTGAGCTTGGAATTCCTGGTGAGAAGTCCTGTTTTTTGAACCTTCTTCCTGGTAAGCAGTACAAAATAAAATGACACCCCTCTTCTCTAATCAAGCTTTTGGAGAACAGGGATACAATGCACCTATCCCCCACTTCAACACTGACTGCAGGGAGTTCAGTTTTCAGCCTCGTCAATGGAGCAATCAAAAGGAAAATGTAAACAACTTGTCCGTACAGAAATTCAAAAAATTGAACTCAAATACCATCCTCCTTAACCTGAGTATTGGAGGGATTAAGTCAGGACTGAAAGCAGAAAAGCAACTTTGGGAAACTAATAGAAAACTAAGCCAAAAACTGAAAAAGATTATGAATTGATAGATTCTTAACTTCCAAAGAGTAGAATGAAAATATAGCAATCAATACAATATGCAATTATAGGCACTAAATAACACTAAAACTTTTAAATATACACAGATTAAATAAACTTGATAAACTGTATGTAGAACAAATAAAGCATAATTGCTGTCACAGTTACGGCTTGGAGACGGCCCTTTTTGGCTAGTTGTAAGAGGTCTTGCAGTATTCCAGTCACTTCAAAATCTTCTGAAATTTAAACCCCTAGCCTCTCTCCCCCTATCTGGTCCTAGAAATGGAGGACAAAGGGATCACTAAGTCAGGCCTAAGAGAATCTAAGCAGGCCTGTCTTCAGAGTATAGGGATCTATTAATATATCTCTATTCAAATTCAGAATCATAAGCAAGTTATTATGAAACGTAACCTAGACTGTTCATCTTTCCTTAACTGCTACATGCTCAAGGCAGGGCACCTGTGCAGATGAAATTACAAGAACATGTCTTCATTGTGAGATGGACTAAGTAATGAAAATAATCTATACACGGTAAAAATGGGATCAAATTTCTGCCTCTGCCTGCTTCCACTGCTCCCCAAATCAAAGTTTATTACTGGTATATTCTCTCTGGAGAACCAGCCCAGAAGGGTAGCAAGTTGCCTCATTTGTATCTTTTAACCTTACTACAATGCTAGGCTCAAAGTTTGAATGACAGACACCATTTATATTTTGACAGGAATAATTAACTAGATAGTGATTAGACTAACAAAGGGTACCTGTAACTGCCTGATGAAAATATGGACTCATTTGCTATAACACAAGTTTGATGTCAATAAAGTGAAATGGAACAGTAGACAGACTAATTGAAATAGCTAAGGAAGAAAGCCAAGAGGGTAGATGAAATAGTATGGAATTAGGAACAATTTGACACAGCTGTGCTAATAAAAAGTGAAAGACAGTAGTCAAAAAGACCTAATAATGCCAGCACAAGGCAAACAGAGTCCATGGGGTCCTAAAATGCCACTCAAACAGCAGGAAGAAAATAAAC